TGCCTTCATTTCTCACTGGATAATACCTCGGATAATGTAGTTGGAACAGAAAAAGTGTTTAGGCTCACAAGAAAATTTTTGTGAGATGGTGAGAATTTTTCAAATGACACAAAATTAGATATTGGGTATAGTGGATGCTTGGTACATTCTCTGGTTCCTTTCCTAATGGCAATAGGCAAATCATAATCACTAGTTATAGTTTTAGGAGATTCATGCTCATTTTGAGAAACAGAGTCAAAAACTATAGTTACCTCATTTCTAGAGTTAGGATCAGGTTCTTGGACTGGCACTGGTTCAGGATCTGAAACTTTTCTTCTTGAGTACACCTGTAATTCCTTCATAGAATCAAGAACAATATTATCTCTTGTCACATCTTCCGTATTTGAAATGGGTTCAGACTCAAATTCAATGTTTGACTTGAGCTTAGCAGAAACAGGTTTCGACTCATAAGAATTAATGAGTGGAAATGTTGAAGAAGGGGGCAAATCAAGCAAAAAGAAGTTTTTATCCTTATTTTCCATGAATGAAGTCTCCCCCTGAAGATAAGGTTGAGTAAAAAATAATTTATTTTTTTCAAAAGTGACATCTGCAGACACATAAAATTTTTTTGTAGGAGGATGATAGTACTTATATCCTTTTTGAGTTGAAGAATACCCCATAAAAATACACTTAATCGCTCTTGGATCCAACTTTTCCCTGTTATGATTGTGAACATGAACAAATGATGTACAACCAAATATCCTAGGTGTGAGATTGTTTGTGGTATTGAAGTTGGGATAAAATTGTGAGAGTAGTTCAATAGGAGTTTTAAATCCCAAAACTCTTGAAGGTAACCTATTTATAATGTGTGTGGCAGTGAGAACAGTTTCCCCCCAATAAGATTTAGGTACATTTACTTGAAAAAGAAAGGCTCGAGTTGTGGCTAATAAATGGCTATTTTTTCTCTTTGTCACTCCATTCTGCTGTGGAGTATTAACACAAGATGACTCATGGATAATACCTTCTTTTTAGAAATAGATGGATAGACTCTGGTTGAAGTACTCTTTTGCATTATCAGACCTAAATCTCTTGATTCTTATTCCAAATTGATTTTGGATCATGTTTTGGAAGCTTAAAAATATACTATTCACATCTGATTTGGATTTAAGTAAAAAAAACCCAAGAGACCCTAGTACAATCATCTATGAATGAAATAAACCATCTCGCACCAAAAATATTAGGAATTGTAGAGGGACCCCAAATGTCACTATGAATCAAGTAAAAATGAGTAGAACTTCTTTTGTTATTGATTGGAAAAGACACACGTCTATGTTTTGTAAATTCGTAAATATCACAATGAAAATCTTCAACATTTAATTCTTTGAACAAAGAGGGAAATATGTTTCTCAAGGTTTCAAAAGAAGGATGTCCAAGACGAAAATAAAAAAGCCAGATTTTGTCTTTATTGGAAGATTTTTCAAAAAGAAATGACAAAGGTAAACTATTTTTTATACTACTTGTGTTATTTGATGTCTCAAGATAGTATAGTCCATCCTTTTCCTTAGCAAGTCTAATCATCTTCTCCGAACTCTGGTCCTGAAATTCACAATAAGAGGGATAAAAAGTTACTTTGCAATTCATATCTCTGGTAAGTTTTTGTATAGATATCAGATTAGTAGACAATCCAGGAACATGAAGAATATTTTTGAGAACAAACGAGGGATTACCTTGAACATCTCCTAATCCTGCCACTGTAGTAAGTGAACCATTAGCAACAACAATTTTCTTATTACTAGGACACATGTTATATGTACTAAACTTTTGTGAGGAATGTGTCATGTGGTCTGTGGCTCCTGAGTTAATGATCCAAGAACTCGTAATAGGCTTAGCCGAGACATTTAATTCATGAGAACCGAAAGCTTTACCTGAACTAGAAATTTTACCCAAAGAACATATCATAGTAGGCTTTTCAAGGATTTTCAATAAGTTTCTCAGCTTTTCAATCTTTCCCTATTGAACTCTCCTTGTTTCTAAGACATCTGTAGTACTCCAGTGATTTTTCCCGTTAATATTTTCTCAAATTGGGTGATAGTGATATATTTCTTTGAAAGGGTTCGACAATGAAGGCTTAAATAGGATTCGGCAATGAAGGCCTAAAAAAGTCAGCAATGAAGGTTGAAAATTTTTCTTCCCAAGAAGAGCCTAAAGCTTTGTTACCATGTGAAAACTGAATGTATATTGAAAAACTGCTTATCTCCAATTATACAAGAATCTTAGGTTTATATACAACCAACTAGAGGTTAAACTAGGAAACTAAATCTTCCTTAATTTTAGGGATACAAATACTTAATTCTAGAGATACAAATATAAATATACAGATTACAAGATTACAACCAGCTGTAAATAAGTATTTTCCCACAAGATAAGATTAAAATCAATGATGAAAATATGTGTTTAGATATAAATACAACAATGACGATGAGTTGAATTATGGTGAGAAGAAAAATGACTATTAAAAACATTAAATTAGAATTTGTATTAATAAAAATTTTAAATTAATTAATATTTGTAAAATTAATAAAAATAAAAAAATTATTTTTATGATAAATAATAATTTTGATAATAAAAAAATAAAAATTAATTTATCAAATAATATTTTTATTATATTAATTAACAGAATTATTTTATATTTTTAAATAAAAAATTAGAGTAAAAATGAAAGAGAATAAATTAAATTAAAATATTTTTTTTCTCTTCAATACGATTGCAGGGGAAAAAAAAATAAAAGAAAACAAAAGCAATCCAACATTGGATCATTGGATCCAAAACAACCAATAAAAAAAGCTCACTTTCGCATCAAAGCTTGATCAAGCTTGTTCTTTACTTAAATCAATAAATCAATTGTGTTCTTTACTTATATAACAACCAATAAATCAATTTATATTAAATAACTAATAACATTATAGCAAAATAATATATTATTAAGCAAAATAGCATATGTTGTAGACTTGATGATTTGATTGATGTCGTATAAAATTCTAATAATTTATGTATTTATGTTATAGTTTATATGAAAATTATATATCATAATTTTAATTAATATAAAAATTATAAATATAAATAAATTTTTTATTTTTATTAAATCTATATATAACTTTTATTAATTTTTTAAATTATATCTCTTTCATGTCTTTAAAATTAAATAAAAAAAATATTTTTAGATATATCAAACTATTGAAAAGGTCGACCACCAAATTGTAACTCAATCTTGCCCCTCTTCTACTAATATTTTTACTAAGAATAGAAGACGAGAGTTTCAAAGAAGCATTTTGTTGAGTGTCTTTAGAGCATAAAAGACAAATAATTAAAAACCAAACATAAGGTTTTAAAAATTATTGCTTAAGCAATAAAAAAATATTTGCAGTAACTACAGAGTTTCCACAAATATAAATTTCATCATAATAATTTACTTAGTCTATGGTTTTGATAAATTTATAGAATATAATTATTATCATGTGAAAATCAATTATTTAATTGTATAATTTTAATTAATACATTAAGAAATAAACTAATGCTCAAATTAAAAAAATCTAGTATAATGTTAAATTACAACGAATAAAAATTATTAATCAATTTGCTTCTTCTTAGACTTGTCCATGGTTGGATCTTGTACAAGAATTTTCAAATTTGAATCCCACGTTTAATTATAAAATATTTAGTTTTTATTTAATTTTTATTAAAAATATATTTTAAAATATTAGCATAAAAATATTTTTAATATTTTAATAATAAATTTTGAACAAATACTTTAAGATATCAACCGGCATGTTGACGATTATAATCTAATGCCTTGTTTCCATGCAGTTGTACCTACGAGGAATTATGCTTAGTACACAAAACGCCATCAGACACCCATCTAGGTGTCATGCTGTTGCATGATTGAAGTAATAAATAAATAAATAATTTTATTATATAATAAAATAATAAATAAATAATTTTGTTATTATATAATTAATATGAGTTAATTTAAAAATAGATAACTACAAAAATAATAAAAATAAACGGAAAAAATATTATTTAATATTTTAATATTATTTTAATTAATTATTATTATTTATTAATAAAATTATTATTTGATATAAAATTTTAATATTTTTAATTATTTATTAATTTTATAAATATTAAATAATTTAAAATTTTTATTACATAAAATTTTTAATCTAAACTTTTTAATGATTAATTTTTTTACTATAATTGAATTCACCGTCACTATTATTTTTGTACTTAAAAATAAATTATATTATTAATTTTAATTATACCATTATAATAATTAATTTTAATGTTATAATAAATAATATCAGTTCCATTGTTATTTTAAATATCATCAAAATCAATCTTTTATCAATCTAGATAAATACTTAGTTTTTTTATTATTTAAAAATCGATTTTCAAAGGATACTTCTCGAAAATATTTACATTTTTTTTTAAATTGAGATTTTTTTATTATTTACTTGAGTTAATGAAAATATTTTTTTATTATTTGTTTTTTTTGAAAAACTTATTTTTTATTCAAATAATATTCACATAGCTATTAAAATATTAAAAATTATTTATTATAAAATATTAAAATAATTTATTATTAACATTTTTAATATTCAAAATTAGTTATATTTTAATAATAATATTTAATATTAAATATTATATTAATATTATAAACTTAAAACAAAACTACTTATTATTTATACTAATATTTTAAAATTATTCTCAAAATGCATTTCTAAAAATAAATAATATTTATTATTAAAATGTTGAAAATATTTATACTATCAAAACATAAAATCATTTTTCCGAAAGTTCGTAAATGACAATTGTCCGTAGACGTGAATTTGATTTCTACTAGCAACTACCAAGAGTGGTGAACAAGTAAGGTGTCAAGATCTGTTGATGCTGACATGGCACCGACCATGTTCACCGAAGTTTAGCGTGAAAGTGAATTGTAAACAACTCATCCTGCTAAAGACTTGAGCGCTTGTTCTATACTTCTTACCCAAAGCCTTCGTCAAAGCAAACACAACGCCAAACTCAAAAAAAAAAAGTTTGTTGTGTTACTCTCTTTTTCACTTTTTTTTTTCCTCTTTTATCACAAAATCAGTTCTCCAGATCTCCTCTCTCGTCTCCTATTGTTGTCTCATTTTCCCTGTCCCCGAGCGCTGCTTTTCTTCTTCCAATATAGGATCTGATTACTTCTATAACTTGGGTTTCCAGGAAAGCTAGAGCCCATTAAACATTCACATGTATGTAAGTGATATCCAAGTTTAAAGCTTTTTCCTGTTCTTTTCTATCATTTCTCTACTGTTTTCGAGATCTGATTAGATTGGGTTTTCAAAAATAAACAAAACCCATGAAGAAGTCTGATTAGTTTTTCATTCTTTATTATTAAAGTTGTGCATTTTGTTTGTTTATCTGGGGATCTGATTAGTTTTTGCAATTGGGTTTTCAAAGATAAGAGAAAACCCATGAAAGAATCAGATTTAAGCACTGATCCAATTGGACAAAATCTGATAAAACTGATAAGCAATCTATGTTTCTCAGTTTTTGTGTTTTCAGTGCTAATATTTACAGTTATTGCCATCACCTACCAACCCCCCGACCCATGGCTGGAGTCAGCTCCTGCCTTAACCAAACTCTTCACTCAAACTGAAAATGCCACTTTCAAAAATGACAATTCTATCCTCAAAACTGGTGAAGATTTACTTGCTATGCCAGCTACTGCCGTGCCCCCTGCTTTAGCACTCAATCCCATCACTGAAACCGTGATCAAGAAGTCTGAAGAGAAAATTTCGAATTTAAGCCTAAAATCAGACTGTGAGGAGGTAAAAGTTTTGAATTGTTCGGATCCACGTGTTTTACTCACAGTCGAGAAATTCAATTTGAAAACTTTCAAGTCTATAGTGTTTCTGGAGTATCAAACTCCGGTCAGTGGGTCGAAACCAGACGAATGTGATGTGGCTTGGAGGTTTAGGAACAAGAAAGAAAGGTCGTGGAGAAAGTACAGGGATTTTAGAAGGTTCAAGTTTGTGATTGGAGAGAATTGTACCTATAAAGTGGTGTATGCAAGTGGCTGGCATTCAGGCATTAACGCTCGGAGGCCTAGGAGTACACCTAACACCACAAGGAGTGGTGGGAATCCCAAGCTCGCACCACCTATACATGACGAAGAGATAAATGATACAATTCCAACTTTGGGCTCAGAAATGAACTTTAGAAAAGGGAAGTATTTGTATTATGCACGGGGAGGGGACTACTGCAAGGGAATGAATCATTACTTGTGGAGTTTCTTATGTGGTTTAGGGGAGGCTATGTATTTGAATAGGACATTTGTGATGGATTTGAGCATATGTTTATCGGCAACTTATAATCCAAGTAATAAGGATGAGGAGGGAAAAGATTTTCGGTTTTATTTTGATTTTGAACATCTTAAGGAGGTGGCATCCATTGTGGAGGAGAGTGAGTTCTTAAGAGATTGGAAGAAATGGGACAGGGGCCATAAAAGAAAGTTGCCAGTCAAGAAGGTAACAACCTATACAGTCACACCAATGCAACTTAAGAAAGATAAGAGCACAATCATTTGGAGGCAGTTTGATGCTCCAGAGCCTGAAAACTATTGGTACAGGGTATGTGAGGGGCAAGCAGCTAAGTACATTCACAGGCCATGGCATGCTTTATGGAAATCAAAGAGATTGATGAATATAGTGACTGAGATCAGTGGACAAATGGACTGGGATTTTGATGCTGTGCATGTTGTTCGAGGGGAAAAAGCACAGAATAAAGAACTCTGGCCACACTTGGATTCTGATACATCCCCTGATGCTCTTCTTTTGAAGCTTAAAGAAATGATTCAGCCTTGGAGGAATCTGTACATAGCAACAAATGAGCCGTTCTATAATTACTTTGATAAATTGAGATCTCAATACAAGGTCCATTTGCTCGATGATTACCAGGATTTATGGAGTAACACAAGTGAGTGGTACAATGAGACAAAGCAGCTGAATGATGGAAAACCAGTTGAGTTTGATGGATACATGAGAGTTGCTGTGGATACCGAGGTACTTTACAGGGCAAAGACACGGGTAGAAACCTTTAATAATTTAACCAATGACTGCAAGGATGGAATTAATACATGCTGAACAGGTTGGAGCTACCCCTTTCTGTCTTTTCCTAAATTGATTCACATTTCTTGTTATATCTTTAACTTTCTTGATTCTGTTACAAAATGTAATTGTTGAGATTAATTCAGGCTTGCTGTGTTTTGCTGTTCTTTTATTATTGTTGGCGATTTCTGTTCATTATCACAGCCCTTTATCTCTAATAGTAGAATATCGAAATTGTAGCAAAGTTTATTTTGTCTTGATGCTGGTTTTCTGTTTTTTTTTTTTTTTCTTTCTATAAATGAATAATATTCTTATGTCTTATAGCTTGTATGGCAAGAGCGAAGATTCAAATTCACAAAACGTGATGCTAAGATTTCTTAGACATACGAGTTGCATGCATTATGGTATCTTTCGCTGCCTTGAACTAGTTGTTGCATGATACCCCTCAGTTTGTTTTGGCTTCTTGATCCTATGCCAGGAATTTGTGTGGATGGTGATGAGCCAATGATGATAGTACAAGTTCAACTTATTATGGCTTGGTGTTGACTGTTGAATGTTTTACTTACAATATACTTTCTGTGGATGGTGTTGACTGTTTAATGTTTTACAAGTTCAACTTCTAGTAATGATCCGTAGTCGCATTCAGGCATGTACACAATATACTTGGATGGAACAATGGGCTGCAGGGTCTATAATTTAAATGTCTGATTCCGGACATTAAGGCTTTACTTGGTAGGAGTAGGATGGTAGGAAGCATGTAAAAGATGAAGGATGAAAATTTTGATAATAGAAAAACAAATCAACCAACTTTTTGTTATTACCCATAAATAACTTGATGGCATTGCTATTTAGGATTTGGGCTAGCCTTCCAGAAGTTGTTATACTCATCACCCGTCATCCTTTGCACTAAGCTTTCCATTTTACTTGTAAAAATTCACCGCTGTTTATAAGACTTATGAAGGCGGTGAACCTTTATATATATATATATATATATATATATATATATATATATATAAGACATATAATTTTCATAGATAAAAAAAATAAAAACAGAAATTGATTGGCCAAATCAATTTGTGGGGTTTTTTTTTTCTTTTCAATTTGTTACAAGTAATAATTTTTTTAAAAAATAATTAAAAAAGAAAAAAAATAAAAGAAGGAAAAAAATAGAACATAAGAAGTATAAATCATACTTTTTGTTCACTTTTTATATATTTTTACCTTTAACCTGTTGTTTTTAATTTCAGCATTTTTATTGTTCATTTTTCTTTTTCTTTTTAATTTTATCTTTCTTAATGCTTCATTCTTTTCCTATTGTAGTTGGTCTCTCTTCTATCTCCCATCTCTTTATTTCTTAGGTGTAAAAAAATTCATAAAAAATTCACACATAACTCAGGGTAAGTGGCTCAAATTTGAAGAAGAGGAATCTAGTGCATAAAAAAAAAAAAAAAGGATAAAAAGGTATGTATTGGTTAGTAGATATGTAAATTTAGGAAAAAGTAGAACAAAAAAATTGGGAAAATTTTATTCTTGTTCTTTTAACTTTTTATTTTGATTTTATTTTAGTAAAGATAAAGCATGACTACAAATAAATCCAAGTAGTTGTTACCTAATCCAATCTAATTACACATCCCATGTTTTTAAACGCACGGAACATTCTTTCTCCTTTAGAAACACATTTGCCTACATTTGTGTCCTTATTAAGGGGTTTAAACTTAAAACTTAGAAACTTGGCTTTCTACAGCGTCTCATTGCTTCAAATTTTGAGGAATTTTGTTTAAAAAGACCGTTTAGGTAGTAAATTAGTAAATTAGTAGGATTGGGATAAGTATTTTCTATTTTATTGATAGGAATAGTTGTATAAGAATTGAATTATTATTTTTGTTGATGGTTTCATGGTTTGATGATTCGGTACTGCTGCAAAGTTGGTTCGATAATTAATTCGAAAGTTGGAATGATTTGTAAAAAAAAAAAAAAAGCAATTAGGAGGGCATCGAAAGTAACACTTCGGGATGCACTTGAACACTAAAAAAATCGTGTAGGTAGTAAATTAGTAAAAGTGGAATTCAAATTTTATATTTCATTGAAAGGACAGTTGTATAAGAGTTGGATTATTATTTTTGTTGATGGTTTTATGAGTTTGATAACTGGGTGATTATTAGAAAGCAGGTTGGATGGCTAACCTTAAAGCTAGAATGACATGTAACAAAGAAAATAGTCGGTGGGTTTCGAAGATAGTATTTTGAGGTGTGCTCCGACATTCAAGTTAATGAAATATCATAGATGAGGGAAGGTAAAGAGAAAAGAAAGAAGGAAGGAGAAGCTAGAGAGTAGGTGAGGGTAAATGAAATGAGAGTGAAAGGTTCACAATGAGATACTTGCGGCTCAACCTTACCTTTTATAATGAGCTTGTGTTAATATGGCCAATTGACTTACTTGATATCGATTAAGTGTTAAACTAGTTGCAGTGGTCGTCAACATGGTAGCCAAGTTGCTGATCGAGCTACCAGAATATAACAATTGCCCCCAATCTAAGGATGACTTAAGCATCGGAGCAAATCTCAGAGTCCTACCTCCGGCGTCCCTTGACCATTCTTTCCATTATAGGTCATTCGAGCTTCCAAGCTAGCCATCTAAACCAGCTTCCTAGCAAGCACCCAATCATAAAACCTACAAAACCATCAATAATTTTATTGCTATGAGACTAGTTCTTTAATTTTCATCAGTATATTCCGACTGGATATATATATATATATATATATATATATGATCAAGCCACTTACAAATTACAGGCCCTTGGTTTTTTAATAAATCTTCTTGAATGAACTTTAATAACCTTGTCGTTGTCTCATCACTACATACTGATTAGCAACTCTGTAATGCCTAGCTTGTCATGAAATCAACATTGTAATTAGCTTTTGCTTAAATGTGTTTAATCCTACAATGCTAGTTCCTTTGAATGAGTTGATGACGCTAATGATAACATAGTAAATGATCCTTATTACGTAAATAACTTATAACCTTGTTGACATCCAAAAGAGAATAATAGTTATCGTCAAAAACCTTGAGTCCAAGCTAGTTTCAAACCCAACAAAATGGCATGAAGTTTTGCTTTTATGATTGAACCTCTCTTGATACTTTTTGAGAAACCAAAATTCCAATGGCCATCACAATTTCTAGCAATACCTTCAATATGAAGCTCTCTTGGGTTAGATAAAGCAATGTTATCAACATTAATCTTGATAAAACTAGCAAGTGAAATGTCACAACTAAACTTTGTCTTAATGAAACAATAGCACATGCAACACTTGAATGGACTTTTTTCACACAAATCATCTAATATAACTCGAATATCTGAACAAGTAATAAGTAAGTCACAAGTTAAATCAAAGGATATGTAACGATATAATGAGACATGGAAGGTGCACGTAGCTTGACACCTAACGCCTTCCAAAGATAAATGTTTTATTAATGTATAAAAGACTACTACGATTAGAAAAAAAACGTCGAGTTTTTCCACAATTGTTGGGGATAGATGGGTAGCCCTAGATAAGTTGTGTAGCACGTTCCTTAACTAGTGAGGTAGTCCAACAATTCATTGACTGCTCAACCCCTCTAAAGAGCAAAAGAACTTTTCAAGTTTGCTTCCAAAAACCGTTAAAATATTTGAAATGAGAACACTTTTTTCTAGTATACAAGATTTATCCCCTTGGCACTTTTACCTAGTAATGGCATAATACAAAGTTGGCTCATGATATCATATATCCAAACATGGCCTTATACAATGTTGGCTCATGAGTTATGACAGCCTTTTCCATTTTAATTTGTTGACCTTCTCATTGACTTAAAGGCTTGAAATTCTTTAATTTTTTTGCTTGAAGGCTATAGATCATGGTCTTTCTCCTAGCTACTCTCTTTTGGTCATAAGCCTTTCCACTTGACTAGGTACTATTGGATTGGTCTTCAAGAAACTATAGTTAGCCTATCTACTAGAATTTCCTCCACTTTATGTTTTGATGGCAGTTTCATATTGATGGCTACTCTGATGACTTTACTATAGGTTGCACTTGATGGATATATGTGATAAGGTTTTAAGTTGCTTACATGAAATATCGGGTTCACTTTCGTTCATTTTGGTGGGTTAATCTTCTATGAGGCATTACTCAGATTGGAAAAGATTTTCATGGGACTTGCATACTTGCACACCAACTTATGATCCCACTTTTATAGGAACCTAAGTTGCTTAAGCACTAGCCTAATAAGCAGAAAGTCACCGGCCTTAAATATTGGTGCCCTTTAAACCTTATCTGCCCACTTCTTCATGTGCTTTGTTGCTTTCTAAGATACTTAAACAATTTTAATGTTTTACTACATTCTTTGGTAAGGTTGAAAGTTTGATGACTTTTCCCTTGTAAGGCTCATAAGAGGTGTGGGGCAACCTCGGTTGTCCAATGGCCACTTTAAAGGGGCTCTTGTTAGTGGAAGAACTCTTTTTAGAATTAAAGTAGAATTAAGCTACATATAACAACGAAGGTCAGTTCTTTTAATTTGCTTGTACAAAATGTCTTAAGTACTCTTTTAGCAATCCATTGAGCTATTCAATTTGTCAATCATTTACGGGTGATAACTGAAAGAGATATTAAGTTTAGATACTAAAATTTGAAAGCTCTCTCTAAAATGGCCTTGTGAATTTCAAAGCTTTATCACTGGCAATGCTTTATGGAATACATTAATACTTGATCACATTCTTAAAAATTAGATGAGTCATGATTTTCATAGATTAATACTTTTAGGCTAGGATGAATATGACATTCTTCGAGAAACAATCAATCACCACCAAAATAGACCTAAAGTCATTAACTCTAGGGACGCTTGCAATGGAGTTGAAGAAAGTACTTTCCCAAGGTCTAATGGGTACAAGTAAAGCTTCAAGCATGCCTATAGGTTTCTCTTTTTCAACTTTATTTTGTTGATAAATGAGATAGGTTTTTGTATAGTCTATCACCTCTTGTAGCATGTAAGGCTAGTGTTGTGGTGTCCAACCCAAGGTGTATCATGGCATTTTCACATTAGTATCTGTCTCAAGTCCCTTATTCTTAGCACAAACAACAATGGACCATTTGTCAATAAGGTTCCATTTTCTAGCCAAAAACATTTTGACTTTTCTTTTTTTACCAATTTCATGATAGAACTAGCATGTGATTTTTTTTTTTAGGTTTTCTTTAATCAACTTACAAATATCTATGGTCACTTTATTAACATACATTAGGGCAGTCTTTTTAAGAGCCACCAACTCTATCTTCTACTTAATGCATCTGCCATTTGGTTGGTTTCAAAGCAAAAATCAAATTTGGCCAAATAGTATTGTCATTTTGCTTATTTGTCCATAGGTTTCAATTGTGTAAGAAAGTGGTTAACAGCTATGTTATCTTTCTTGATAATGAAATAGGAGCCTAGGAACTAATGTTGCCAAACTTTTAAACAATGGATCACTGCTAAATGTATCTTTTCTTGGGCCATATACCTTATTTATGTCTTATTCAATTTTTAGCTGTTAAATACAATTAGGTGTCGCTCTAACAAAAGCATACCTCCAATAACAAAATTTGATGCATCGATTTGTATTTTAAAAGGCTTTTCAATGTTAGAAAAGCCCACAAAGGGTATTTCATTATGGCTTCATTTGACCCTTAAATGCCTTTTCGCATTCATTTATCCAACACCATTTATGCCTTTTCTTCACTAACTCGGTGATTGTTGTTATTCGATGTGAATAACTTTCTATAAATTTTTTATGATAGTTGGTTAGTCTAAAAAATGATTGAAGTTCACTAGCATTCTTCGAAGTCATCTATTTCTTGATGGCCTTGACCCTTTTTCATATTCATTCGGATGTGGCCTTATACCATAATATGGCCCAAGAAATGAATTCATGTTTGCGAAT